GTAATTAATTAATTTCGCGAATAGTACATTTTCAGAAAAACCCAAATAAATCGAAACCGGTCAAAAATAGGTAAAGGGAATGTTGAATAAAGTAACATTATTTTGTTCAGTAGAATTCAAAATTAAAGTGAAATATAGGTTATTCTATTTAAAAAAGTATAAGTTTATATCATTACGCCAAATTGGGACACCCTGTATATATCTCACAAATTTTAATTTGTAGCCGGTACTGACCTACGTATTCCTACAAAAGGAATTTTTAATATCTTTAGCCATTTCCCCGGTAGACTCCGTCCCGTTGAGCGTGACTCACCCTGTATATATATATATATATATATATATATATATATATATATATTTGTTACGAATACAACAATTTTTGCGTACCCTTGTAAACTAGACAAATTTTTAATCTCGAAACAGATTCCAAACAAAAAAGCTTTTGAACTGCAGAACGTTTGTTTAGCTGCAAAACGTACACTTACATCAACATATCAACGTAATAGAAACTCATATTATATTCGTATTAAAACGAATGAAAAAGTGCATTCGCATGCTATCATATTTTAGTTTTTAAATTAAACGTTTATATAAAAAGCTAGTAAATATATTAGATTTAAAAGCGAACATAAAATAAGTTTATTAAAACATAAAAAATTTTAATATTTTTCGTAAAACTGTAAAAAAAATTAAATTAAAGTTTACTTTTTAATAAATATTCTACCTAAAAAGATTATTGGGAGCAAATAAAATTACCATTAAAATAAACACCTAATTACAAAAATTCAAATAATATTCAGTTATCTAACAAATTCAATTAATGTAGTTATATTTTAATTTTTCCGGATCAGGCTAAGGCATCTGATAGCTAAAGCTCTCAGTAATCAGTAGCTGTTGGATGCTGATCTTACACATTGATTTGGAAGATGATCTTGGAACAAGAGGAGTACCGTATTTATTATTTAAAAGTTACTTTATTAAAAAGTTTCTATTATCACTACATGGCCAGCCCATCAAGGTCTCTGAAGTTTAACGAATTCTGAGATCGGTGCCCTTTTGAATAGTAGAGTTAGAGTTTATGGTTGTACCTGTATCTCCATATTCCGTTTTCGTTAGTAGGTCCAAATATCTTTCTTAAGATTTGTCTCTCAAAAATTTACTAAAGTATTTACTAGATTATCTAAAAAGTTTCGAAGAATCAAGATTATTAAGGAGAGATTTTTACCTTTAATAGATACCACTAGATAGTCGTATAAAGGGGCTTTTAAGGGTGCTTAAATGATTTTGATTATATTAATATTAAGTATTGTTTATTTTCATTTGAAAAGATCTTCTGTTAAAGAAAATTTGGATTACGACAAGGTAGTGATGTTGACAAATGAGCAAGAAATAAGAAAATAATGGCAGCTGTATATATCAGAGTTGTTTGAAGATGACAGAAATAATATTGTCGAATTCTACCAAAACTGTACTGACGGCCCAGAAATTATGAAATGCGAAGTAGAACATGCTATAGATATTGCTAAAATTAGAAAAGCTTGTGGTCCAGATGATACACCAACTGAGTTGCTGAAACTAATAGAGAATGATAACATAAAAGTAGTAGTAAGACTTTTTAATTCAATATATAACACCGGAGTGCTTTCCGCAGATTGGCTCAAATCCATCTTTATCGCAATACCTAAAAAACACAATGCGAGAAAATACTCAGAATATCGATTAATTAGTCTAATGAACGACACTTAAAATTTTCCTCAGAATACTTCACAACAGAATTAGACGCAAATGCGAAGAAGATCTTGAATATATCCAATTTGGTTTTAGAAATGCTATGGGAACCAGGGAGGTCCTTTTTGCGCTAAACATTCTATTACAAATTAGACGTGACCAAAGAAAAGATGTATTTGTATGTTTCGTGGACTTCAAAAAGGCATTCGATAAAGTACAGCATGTAAATTTAATGCAAATACTGAAAAATATCAAAATAGATGTATCATTAAAAATTTGTACTGGAATCAAACTGATATCGTAAAAATTGGAGGTAACTACACCGATGAAATCCCCATACAACGAGGAGTCAGACAAGGTTGCATTTTGTCGCCAATATTGTTCAATTTTTACTCGGACTAGCTATTTAAAAAGGCGCTGGAGAGAAAACCATATGGAATAAACATCAACGGGGAACTACTTAATGTAATTAGATATGCAGACGATATAGTAATTCTATCAGATAATATTGAAGATCTTCAAATTCTGCTTGATTGTATTCACGAGGTAGGAGAGGCGATGGGCATTAACATAAACTCAAACAAAACCAAATTTTTAGTGTTTAGTCGTGACCCACATCCCGATGCAAAGCTTCAATTGAACTGAGTCCAAGTTGAGAAAGTTCACAAAATGACATATTTGGGAACTGTGATAACGGACCAACTGGATCCAGACAGAAATAAAACGTAGAATAGCAATAACTAAAACTACTTTTATGAAAATAAAGTCATTTCTTTGCAATAACCATCTCAGTTTAGAAATAAGGCAAAGAATGGTTAAGTGTTATATTTGGTCTGTACTTTTGTATAGTGCAGACGTGTGGACGCTAAAAGTATCAATCATGAACAAAATTGAAGCATTGGAAATGTGGGTTCATAGAAGAATGTGGAGATACCTTGGACAGACAGAAAAACTAACGAAGAAGTACTAAGGAGCGTCAACAAAGAGAGAGAACTGCTAAAAACTGTTAAACATCGAAAAATGTCTTATCTGGGTCATATAGTAAGGGGAAGTCGATATAAAATTATACAACTGATCCTTGAAGGCAAAAGAGAGGGCCGTAGAGGTGTAGGAAGAAAACAAGTTTCTTGGTTAAAAAACATTCGTGAATGGACTCAGATACCAAATGCAGGACAATTATTTCATATTGCAGAAGATCGAGAAGCCTTCGCAATGGTAATCGCCACCGTCGGATAGTTCTGATATGGCACGCGAAGAAGAAGAAATGATGTTGAATATTCCATTTATAAAGTTGTCTCAAAATCTTGCATTTCCAAGCTTTGAGAAATGTACCTTTTAGAGTAAAAAATATAGAAACATATTTTATATTTTAAGACCTTTATGTATCTCTTTTTTCAAGTCTTAAATTTTCTGTGGTTGACCGATTTTTCTAACACTATTTTGCTCAGAGATTAAAAATTTTTCTAAAACCTATAAGAGCGTAAAATGAACAATACTTTTTAGTAATTTGCATGCTCTTAACATCAAAGATAAAAAATGTGGAACGCTTCACGATTTTGCATGTCATCCTTCGCAGAGGCCATGTTTATCTTCTCTGCATCTTTCCAATTTTAGCATATGTGCCGCCAAAAAAAGTACTAAATAAAATGTTTACACATAAAAATAAATATTATTAAAATACTTAGGCCCTTAAAGAAAAGTTCAAAATTATAAATGTAATGTAACTCTTGTAATTTATAATAATTCCAAGTAAGTAGTAGTGAGTATACGTCAAACCAAAAAACAAATGAGAACGTTTTTAGAAATATAAGGAAGAACCAAGGAAACCAGGAGATCCAGGAAGGAAAAAAACATCCTGGTCAAATAAGATCAGAACCTGGTTCATTACAACGTTCGTGCCATTTTTCACACTGCTGCAGACAAAATAAAAATTTAAATGATGATCACCAACATTTGTCACGGATAGAAACAGCAAGAAGAAAAGATATAAAACTACATAAAAAAATCAACTCATTAAGATAATAAAATCAAATCAAATGAAGCTATGAAATTAGGTGGCAGTAATGTTATTATTGCCTTAGGGCTGTGGGAAACTAGAAATCTAGTTTCCTGGGCTTTATTCTAAATACTTAGATATAATTAATCTAATTTACATAACAATGCACGTCATTATCTACGTCAGAGATCGAAGTTGACATAGTTCCAAAAGCATAAAAAAATCCTGATTCCATTTTAAATCAAAGAGATCACATAATTATTGCAAAAGTATTAAAATACCATCTCTTTACAACGACTATTTAAATTCTTACGTGACATTTTTTAAACAAAACACACTAATTTTGTTCTTAAAAAAACAGATTTTATGAAAAAGATAAAAATATAAAACAAGAGGTATTTACTTTAAAATTCAAAATAATAAAGTACAAAAAGTGTCAACACCGTAACTGTCAAATAAGTGTTAAAAATTTATGCCAAAATATCACCTTTGTTCTATTACAGTTACAGTGTGTTCCGAACAAATGTTCTTCATAATAACGCTTTATATTGCATTGATACAAATTAAATGAAACATATTATTGTGTATTTCTTTAAGTTAACATTAATAGAAATTTTTAAATATTATTTCTACGCGTATATAATAAAATATGTCTAGTGGCTGTAATGCCAGTGTACTCGGTAAAATGATTCTAAAAAAGAACACACCTATCGCCTAGATATTTCGTGTTGGTATCATGTAACGTCACGGGCTATGACGCCGATGACGTGCATCGATATGTAAATTTGATGAAGTGTATACCACTCGCATTATGGATCAACCGGCTGTGGTACTGTATTGGGGATCTCCCTAGTCGTCTAGCGAAATTTTTAAGAATTTAGCTAAGAAATTCCCCTTTTGAAGGCATTATGGCAAATACGGCATCATTAAGACATATACACCAGGTTTGTATACACCAATGGCTACATCCCCCAGCTCGAAAGAGGTCTATGGATTTGAGTGCAGACAAGAACTCACATATGAAAACCAGTCGAAACAAAATCGTACAATTGAAACTTTTTTAAATATTTTACTAATGGAAAAACAAGTTTCACTATGTTTTGCTATGAAAACGCATTGCAGGTAATCAAATGTTTTTAAAAATGTCGGATTTTATCATACGGTTCGTAGATTGACGTCATCAAATGAGAAAGGTTCATGAAATTTTTAAGACCACTAACAAGTTTTTATTGCGAATATTATAAAAAAGGTATAAGAGAATTAAGAAACGACTTACCGAAAGTTAGTTAAATTAGATGTAGTATGATTCAGCTGCAATTTAAGTGATCTCAATTTGCAGTTTCTTGTTTCCTTACTAATATTTTCAGGTGTTTGAGTACTTTGGTCTCTGCGATCAGTTGATACTGGTCCTGTTCCATTTCCTCCATTGACGTACGGAAGTTGAGAATGCGAGGAATTTAGCCGTAGGTTACTTGTAGATCTGAAAGTATTAATATTGCTGTATTAAGTATAAATTTTAATTGAAGTAATATTATTACCTTGTTGAGAATACACTAGAATTATTAAAATATATTTTTTATGGAACACGCTGATTTTTATACAAAAACTACTCAGAATTAAATTACCTTTAGTTAATTTTTTACAAAATATTAAAAATTACCCCAACAAATAATTGTTTAACAATAATACGGTCGTGTGTATGAGGTTAAACATATTTTATAACTATATACTATTAAATACTATTCTGTAAGCTTTAAGGGCTTATAGTTTATTACTAGGGTGCTAAGATGGCATAAATTTTATCCCCTGATAAAGAAAATAGGTAGCGGCTAGGTACACTTTACGATCCCGGTAAATTTAGGTCCTTTTCAGGGTCATCTGAACTGCCTACGCGAGCCGTGGTGTAATCTCACTTCCTTTAACCTAGGGGGTTCCATGTCCCAACCTATCATTCTTGTAAAATGACCCCAAATGTTCTAACCCATCCTAGCATCCTTATAATACCTGCACAGGCCGCGTGGTAGAAAAACGGCCAGGAATCCCCGTAAAATAAGAAGCAAAGAAATTGCAAGGCCCATGGTCTCTAGTAGTCCCTTAAAACCGGGCTATGGTAGCAGTCTCTAAGGTAGAGGCACAAAGGCTGCTATGAATCCCCGGAGTTGACCAGGCTTCTTTTATAAACGACAACGGCAAAGAATATGGTTTATGGCAATATATCACAAGAGAACGATGATGGAGGATGAAAAACTTGTGAAAATGAGCTTAATGGGATATACGTGGATGATCTGAAGTATGACGAAAAGGTGAAAAACGGTTTCGTTGCGAAAGCTATTGAATTAAAGAGGAGAGTATTCTAATAGTGGCGTCGGATTTATGGTAAATAAAAACATACAAAGAATATAGTCACTATTAAAAGCTTAAGTAATAGAGTTATAAAAACATACATATATTTTCCAGGTACCAAATGTTGTAGAAACATAAAGGGCCTTATACTAAAATCTCTATTTCATTACACTACTAGACACATGTATAGTTGGTTGCCTAACTATAACCACATATTTTTCTTTTTCCACATCTCATCTTATATACAGAATTTTAAAACAACAATAATAATGGTTGATACTGTCATATTAATTTACTTTACTTTAACAATTTTAAATAACGTTGGCTTTTGTCTTAAGTGGACGCATACAGTTATATTGACTGCTCTGTTACAACGTCCATCCTAACTTGTCAATATTGTCATTCCAATCAGTTGCTTTTATACAGTCCATAGTCATATGTCGCCATGTTACCTTATTCAACGGTAACTTTAACATCATAACATATTATAAGAAATATTGTAAACTAAATGTAACTAATTATTTGTTAACGGGTTTTTACCCATATATTTAGTGGCTACATTCATGTACTCCTAGTAAGTATTAACCACACTTTGCATTAACCTTAGTCAAAATTTCAACCTCATGTTCTTGTTAATTAAGTGGTTATATATTTTCTAGGACACTGATGATGGAATATGGATTCCGAAAACCTTTTGTATAATTAGCCCGTTGGGGTTTTTAAATATACCTTTTATAAAGGTTTTTTAATAAACAATTTTTAATATATGATATACAGCCAACTACAGGAACGTAGATTCCTTGTGGATTTTTAATAGAGTTATGTATATATCTTATCTACAAATTAAATGAAAAAATACAATTAAAGATCATCCAGGTATACGCACCTACCAGTGTCCTCACAGTTGAAAAAGTTAAACGGTTTTATGATGACGTTAACACTGCGATAAAAGAGGTATCCACCAACTATTCTATATTGATAAGGGACCTAAATGCCAAAATAGGCCACAAGCAAGATGATTCGGAATTTGTATTATTTTGACAGAACAGCTATCATCATTATATAAATTAAATTATAAAACAAAATCAAACAAGGGATGGATAGAAAATGGAAATTAACTTTTAACTTAATTAATTATTATTTAAATCTCTTATACCACATAAATAGCTAAATACAACTAAATGCCACGAATTATTTTTTTGACTGATTTTTTTTCCATCCTTTCATTTAATATGTTACCCATACTTAAAGAAATATCAGACTCATCTCTATTGCTGAGTCATAAAAATTAATTCTCACAATAACCATTTGTCAATTAAAGACAAAGCGAAATATCACAAATCGATAACAATATTTCAAAAGAAATCTTGAAAAATTGCACCATTATTGTTTTTCGTATCTGATATTGTATATATCGTTTATATCTTTTGACAAATACAAGCAATACCCTTCCGGTAAAAATAAATGTTTTTAATAATATATTAGTCGATTATTCGACTAATATATTATTCGAATACCCCTTCGAAGAGTATTCGGGACTTACTTAAATATCTTATTTTTATTATTTAATTAAAAATATGACCTTATTTAGTTATAAAATCTTTAATTAATTATAATATATTAGCTTATTATAGGTCAGAGGCTAAAAAACATTGGATGACACAAGAAATACTATTACAGATGAAAGAAAGAAGAAAATATTAAGGAAAAGATCTACAGAAGTATAAAGAAATACAAAGAATAATTAAGGAAAAATAAACGAAAAAGAAGAAGATTTATACCTCTCATTTATAGATTTTAAAGCGGTATTTAATAAAATAGAGAGAGAGTATGGTAAGTCCTAGAAAAATAAGACATACCGAGGAAAATAAAAAACGTAATTAAAAGCACTTATGACAAAGTCACTGATATGGTACAAGATCAAATGAATTCAATATTAGAAACTGTACTATTCATTCTAGTAATTTCTAAAAAATAGATACTAAAAGGACCAAAAACCATTCGCGAACTACATTGGGATATTTGAACTTAATACTGGTAAGATTTGACGGACTTATGTATACAGATGACGTTCTACTAATTACAGACAACGAAGCAAAAATTCAGGAAATAGGTGAGAAAACTAGAAAAAAAAATGAAGGGAAATAAATATCAAGAATCCAATAAGTATAATAGTTGCGCAAAAAAAGTTGATAAGCGAAACCATTTTCCACTTTACTGTAGGGAAAATCAAATTGAGGCAGTATCCCTTTTTGAATATTTGGTAGTAGTGATATCAGAAAGATATAGAAAACAATAAAAACATAAAAGTACTAAAAACATGTAAATCCACTGGCAGGAATCAAATCATAAAGATAAAAGACGACCGTGGAACATTGCGCTCGCATAAGGAAGAGATCGTTAGAGAAATCCGAAAATTTTATGAGAAGCTGTATACTTCTACTATTCCGCACCCCGGTATACCAACAAAACATATCTTAAATGTGGGCTCAGAGGACTTCCCTGAAATAATAACATCAGAAATTAGAGCCGCCCTAAAACAAATGAAAAATGGGAAAACACCAGAAGATAAAATTACTTCAGAGATGCTAAAAATGGGAGACACTGCATTAGAAGAGGCAATAAGAGCATTACTTAATAAATGCCTATTGGAAGGACAAATACAGAAGACATGGAAAAATGCGGAAGTCATTCTACTCCATAAAAAAGGGGACGCCGCAAATATAGAAAACTACCGACCAATAAGCTTATTGTCACACCTTTACAAACTACTAACCCGAATAATAACAAATAGATTGACAGCTAAACTAGATGCATACCAACCAGTGGAGCAAGCAGGCTTTCGTAACGGTTTTAGCACTATCGATCACTTGCAAACAATTCGGACCATTATTGAAAAAACAATAGAGTACAACATACCACTACATCTGGCATTTGTCGATTATCACAAAACATTCGACAGTATCGAGAAATGGGCTTTCTTTACAGCATTGGACGCCAGAGTAGATTCAAGATATGCTGCCCTCCTTAAGAATATATACGATGATGCTACTTTTCACGTAAAAATAGATGATGATCTGTAAACTATGAAAATAGACTTTGGCAACGGTGTGAGACAGGGCGACACCATCTCACCCAAGTTATTTACTTTGGCATTAGAAAATGTTTTCAAACAACTAAATTGGACCGAAAATGGATTAAAAATAGATGGAGAATATCTTAACCATTTGCGTTTTGGAGACGACATAGTACTAACAAGCACAGATATCCATGAAATAAAATCAATGCTACAAGATTTAAATCACAAATCGAATCAAATAGGATTAAAAATGAATCTTGACAAAACAAAGATATTAAGCAACAGCCTAGAAAACATCACGATAGATAACATCAATATAGAAAAGGTAGAACAATATATATATCTAGGACATGCAATTAAAAACGAAAAGGAAAATCAAACCCTAGAAATTAAAAGAAGGACACAATTATCATGGGCTGCTTTTGGTAAGTTGAGCTTCATTTTAAAAGACAGAAAAATCCCAATTCACTTAAAACGAAAAACCTATGACACTTGTATACTACCAGTTGCAACTTATGGATTGGAAACTATGGCAGTAACAAAAAAAATGGCAGAACAATTAAAAGTAACTCAACGGGCATGGCCAATGTTAAATATAAGCCTCAGAGACAAAATTCCTAACACCGAAATACGTCGAAGAACTAAAGTAACCGACATCATGGGAAAAATAGCGACATTGAGATGGCAATGGGTAGCAAGACAAGACACCAACAGATGGTCTCATAAAATGACATTCTGGAGACCTCGAGAAACAAAAAGAAGCGTGGGAAGACCTAAAAAGATATGGATAGACGATATAACTGCTGTAGCTGGAAAGCAGTGGATGAGAATTGCAAGAGATAGGGAAGCGTGGAAGCAATTGGAGGAGGCCTATGTCCAACATTGGATAAATGAAGGCTAAAGAAGAAGAAGAAGATATCAGAAGACAAAACAATCGATTAGGAGGTATCAAACAGAGTGAAAAATGCAAACAAAATTTACTATGTACTAAACAACACGATTTTTAAAAAACAAGAAATAGAAAGAGAAGTTAAGGTCAAGGTGTATAATGCAGTAATAATAGGAACAATGTAAGATGGAATCGAGGCATGGGTCAATAACACCAAAATGGACAGGGCGCTGAACGCAACGGAAATGAATTAACTAAGAAAAATAGCTGACGTCACAAAAATGGATCAGATCAGAAATTATCACATAAGTAGCAAATCGAAGCAGGAAACGATAGGATCTAAAACAATAGAAGAAAATTAAACTGGTTCGGACACATTATTAGGATGAAACAAAGCAGACTAGTAAGAAGAATAATGTAATTTAAGAGGTACAGGAGGAGAAGAAAGGGAAGACCAAGGACGAGATGGTTGAAACAATCAGTGAAAATAGGCAGACAAAAATGAAAATTATTTTAACAAATGCGAGAACTAGCTAGGGACCAGAAGATATGGAAGAGGTGGGTACAAGAAATATGTCAATATCACTCCGACGCCCAAACTGCATTATGCGGCATTATGGAGTTCCCGAAAAAGAAAAAATATATCCGCTTCTATTTTATGTAATAAATCTTTAAGCTAATCTTTATTACTTTTGCACTTAGTAATACACTATTAACTTTACGCCATTATTTTTTATGTTAAAATCTAATCTGCTTTTGATAAATATTTTATTAGTACATAAATACAATTATAATCAATATAGAATTATAAATAGAAATTTAATAAATTGTTCTATCAAAGCGTTGTAAGAAAAATACAAAAACAATATCTAATCTTGGACTAGCAATAGTTAATAGTCTTTCATTTTTCTATACGCAGAACATAGTTAAAATAGACCACTTGTCCCTATACAATCAAATACATCAAACACATAGACAAATAGACACATATGAAAAAAGTTATTATAAGTATAAACTATTATATTACTGTCAGATCTTATAGGGTAATTGTAAAGTTACTACATAATAAGTAAGTATATCAACATTATGTTGATATACTTTCTTATAGGGTAATTGCAAAGTTACTACATAATAAGTAAGTATATCAACATTATGTTGATATACTTTTAAACCACTTTGGAAATGGTGAAGATATTTTGATGAATGCGCTTGACGGCGCATTCACCAATATATACAAATGTACAAACGATACAGGCAATGTACAGAAACAAGATTCATGAAATATAAATAACATTAGCTAATACCATTCAGTTAATATAACAAGATGTATTTAGAATAACTTATAAAAATCTTCTGCATATGTTATGTCCAACTATCGAACGTTTGTAACAATTATTTTGTTTGTTCCAACTTTGAATAGATCAGAGATGACTTGTGATAATACTCTCGAGAATTTTGTAGCAATTCTTCTATTGACCTAGAAATCTTTTATAACAGATTTTATCTGGATTGTTAGATTTCAATTTTCCGGTCTTCTCTTAGAAGAGAACTAAAAGAATGGAACAAAAACTCATTGTTGTAGAAATGGATTTTTGACGCAAATAAGCAGGTATATCGAGAATTATATACGTAACTAATGAAAAAATAAGACAAATTATGGAGAGAACAATCACTATCATACAAAAAATACAGCAAAAACAGCTTATTTGGTGAAGACATGTATAGAGAATAACAGACCGCCCCCTACCGAAGGTAATATTGGCTTGGCAGCCACCTGAGCGACAAAAAACGATGAAGATCGAAAACAACATGGCTTAATGGAGCCCAAAATGCAACATGACAGAGAAGGCAGGATGTTTTAAACCGTATATATATTATATATATATATATATATATATATATTATATATATATATATATATATATAAATATATTTAAATATATATAAATATATATAATATGGTATTAAATTTATAATAAATATATTTTTATTATGAATTTGATTCTAGATAACACCCTAAATGGGTATATATATTATGAGCATATATGATTACTTTATAAAAACTAACTATCACTTGTTTTGAAGGTCTTCTCATTTTAAAACAGTTTTTACTTCCTTCTGTCAGCAGTCGGCTGTTGCCACTCTGGGCACAAGGTCCCTTTTTCGAGCCTGGAAATTATATGTTTCCTTAAAAACTGTAATACCTTATCATAGAACTAGTAACTTCTACTCTATCGAGCTAGTTCCAACTGCCTTATAAACGTAAGTATTCTCAATTTAACAGTCAAAATTTGACCTCTCTGTTTTTATTTTTAAGTAATTATACTTATTTGTAGGTTTTTCACTGATGATGATTTGACAAGATCGAAAACGTATTGAAAATTTATAAATCCATTTTGGATAATGTTTTAAATTTTTTTTAAATTAATACTTTTAAAATTTATGATAAACAAATGCTATGGTAAACAAACATTCATAAGTACACTTAACATAACTAAATACGGTTAATTTACCTTTCACCGCTACCTGCCGTCCTCCACAAAGTTCCCGAGATCGTCGGCGTTCGTTCATGTTTTTGAGCAAACCTTCCACCGAGCCTCCTAAATTGATCGTTTTCAGGATGTTCAGCAGCAAATCGCGCTTTCTTCCTCAGTAACTGGACTGTTAAAGCGTACGTTACTACCATGATGACCATTGGTACGTAAAAAGCTATTAGAGAACCAAACACAAAGAAGGCTCTGTTATTTATAACGCAAGTACCTGGTTCGGGCATAATATTTTCGTGATTTATTATACCTGAAACAAAAATTTGACATAAATGGATATTGTAGGACCTTTTGTATATATATATATATATATATATATATATATATATATATATATATATATATATTATATATATATATATTAGGATAATATTAAATATTGGTAGTCCAGGCTGTGAGGCCGCTCCCGTGGGGAAAATGTTTCTGATTCGGTTTCTTTACGGATTCCGGTTCATAAATGTCCTCTTTAAACAAATCTGAAGAGTGCCGGGCGAAATTTTTGAGCATAAATTGTTTAAACAATTTTTTTAAACAAATTCCAAAAATAATTTATTTTTAATCTGAAAAACGTTTTTTTATGTTTTTTGTGTCATTCTAAACTAAAAAGGTCTCTTGTCATTTTTCTCTAAATTTGATATTTTTCGAGTTATAAGCGATTTAAAGTCTAAAAAACGCGAAACTACGCATTCTTTCAAGTGTCTAAATTCAATAAGTTTAAACATTCAACTTCAAGATTGTGAAGAGTAATCGGGGCTTATTTTAATTTATACCGTTGTTTTTTAATTGTTTAGTATACGCGTACACTCGATTTTAGTCGCGTAAGACGAAAAACACGTTTTATGCCAATAAAAATTTTGTTTTTGAATATTTGTATCATATAATGAATTAAATTTTTCAGTCACACTGTCTTTTCATCAAAGAGCAGCATTTTGTATTGTTATGTAAGAATCTACTTTAGGTTTTTGCACTAAATTAATATTGTTGATGTTATTACAAAAATTACAAACTAAATTTTCTTCGGTAAGTTTTCTTTTAAGAAGAGCTACGGAAAAAGCATTCACAATTTTTTTAATAACACATTAATAAATAATACCCTTTTAATGGACATTAAACAATAGTCTTCCTAATAATCGTTTAAGTAATAACAAAACAAGTATGTGCACGCGATTGTTAAACAGGTAAAAACTTGCATTTTTGCGATAGTATATTGTTTTTAAACACCGCGCAATTTAAAATTAAGTCTACTAATATTAATATTTACTGCATTGTATTATTTAAATAATAATTTAAAAATATTATTTACAATTGATATAAATAAATATATACTCAATAAATAATAATTATATTGTTCAAATTTAGAAGAAAAAAAAACTATATACGGTTATTACATTGCGATGATTGATTTATTTAATTAGCCCAATGACAATAATTAATACCTACATAAATAAATTATGGAAAAAACTATGTTAATTAACTTCAAGTATTTGTTTTTTACGGATTTCACGGATTTTTTTGCGTAAGTATACCGGGTGGTGAATCGTCAAACGGGCCATAGGAAACTCAATGGGAAATTTTAAATTGTTGAATTGCTGTTTCCCTAATTATTTCAGATCAAAAGTCATAAAAAACTGTTTGTAGAGGACTAAATTCTAAATTAAAAACAAATATTAAAACCGTTATACGAATCAAATGTACTTCAAAATTTTGCAAAAATATAATAAATTTTCCAGACCACCCCTACAAGTTAGGCCACACGTAATACAAGAATATATTATAACGTGTGTGTTTTATCATATTTATGTCAAATGCCAATGATCTTAGTTGTCGAGGCATTAACTCAATAATAATATATTTATGTCAGATGTTTGATAATTTGAATTGTCAATTTTTTTACTTTATGATTAAATTATAAACAATGAATTTTACTAAATACTACTACTGAACAATATTACTTTGTGAACAATAAATTAAATTGTTTTCAAATCGGTCAATATAATGAAATGTACTCAGTTAACAAAAAATCGCATAATGTTGTATTCAGGCAATAGCGCGAATCTTTTCCTGTCACTACCGGATCTTTATTTAACGGAAGATATTCTAATACACTAAAATTTAGTTCCATGTTAAGTTAAGTTATACAACAATTCAATGAATTCCAATCTACTGTTACTGTGATTTTTATTCCTAATAATAATATACGATAATTTCTAAACATAAAACTATAACAAATGTTATAATAAAACATGAATAAAACATTTTTATAATTGCTCTTTTCTCCTTAACTGAGTACATTTTTTAATCAACTTAATTTTTCTTTTAAATAATAAATCACAAAATTTTGGCCATTTAAAGCATAGATAAATATAATATACAGTGGGTGATCAAATTATTATTATCAGTCACAAAAAATTAAGTTTTTCATATTTGTTCAGAAATTTTATAATAAAATTATATGCTGATATACGATTAAAGTATGCCAATATATTTTGTCACTGATAACCTTACTTTTTTGACGTTTACCGCTCTAGAACTGTCATTTGTGTCAAATTACGTGACAACATACACATTGTGGTGAATTTACGCTTGGAGTTTACAACTGAATTTGTATGTTTTTGTATTGTTTTTGAAAGATTAGTATCGTTTTATCTTTGTAGTATGTTTTATTAATTTATTAGTGGTGATTGTAAGTGAAAAAAGAATATCAGTTTTAATTTTAAAGACATTTTCAAAACATTTCGACTTTTGAGAAGAAAATCATAATGGGTAAGGCTAAAGACGTCCCTGTGTCTAAAATGGTGGAAATAAAGACACTTTTATTGAATGCAAAGCTTTCCCAACGTCAGATAGCTCAATAATGCCAAGTAGCGCAAGCAACAGTGAGCAATATCAAGAAAAAAATTGAAACCAACAAACCCCTGATTCACCAGCGTGCCCAAAAATGTGGTCGAAAGCGTGTCACTACACCCAGAGACGAAAGAAAAATGAGGGATATATTCGTAAACAATAGAAAGAAGCCAAGAAGAATCCACACGAGACTTATTCGTGAAGCTGGTATGCGAGTTTCTGACATGACAGTCCGCAGAAGGCTTACTGAGCAAGGTTTCAAATCATGTCGCCCTGCCAAAAAACCAAAGTTGACCATCGTAATGATGAAAAAGAGACTGGAAAGGGCCAAAGAACACCAAAATTGGACAATTGAGGATTGGAATAAGGTAAATTACGTCACTACTAAAGTTTAAATCACTATAACCACTGTTTTTATCCTAAAAAAAATATCTTATAGTTTTTTTTTATTCACAGGTTTGTTTCTCCGATGAGTCTACAGTGGAGATACTCATGGATAAGTCGGCCTTCGTCCGAAGGCGAGTGGGTGAAAAATATCATAAGGATTGCATAGTGGAGCGAGAAAAGCATCCTCTCAAGATTATGGTATGGTCTGTGATCAGCAGTAAGGGCACAGGAAGGCTGTACATTGTAAATGAAATGATAATTCAACATCAGTATATTGAAGTTCTGGAAAAAAAACTCATGCCACAAATCAAAGACTGGTTTGGCGAATCGGAGGATTTTACCTTTATGCACGATTCAGCACCGTGCCATAAGGCAAAAAGAGTAACACCGTACCTGGAAAAAAGAAAATTAAAGTACTGAAGTGGCCAGGTAATTCCCCAGACCTCAATCCGATCGAAAATCTATGGGAGCTTATGAAGAGGGGGGTTGCCCAGGAAATTGTCACAAATAAGCGGCAGTTAATTGAGAGACTCATTGCCACCTGGCACAGAAACGGTAAAATAAAAGAAAACTGCCTGAGAAACATTCAAAGCATGCCAAGGAGGAAGGTCACACAAAATATTAAAAAAAAATGTTATTTAAGGTCAAAGAAAAAAATATTTTAAAATTTTGTAAAAGAACGTATTTATGATCTATTTTTATATTATATTCACATTATTAGACACTCATATGTAGTTTTATTCTTTATTAAACAGTAAAATATAAAGTTTTTTGAAGTGATCATAATAATTTGATCACCCACTGTAGTTGATTTAAATTTTGTCAAATGTTAGAAACGTCAATATGACACAACGCAACACGTAATACACATTCTCTTCACGGCGTCTGGCCTGACTTTTAGGGGTAGCCTGAAAAATGTATTATATTTTAGCAAAATTTTGGAATACGTTTAAGTCATAGAACAATTTTAACAATTGTTTTCGATACATATTTGAGTCCTCTACAAATAGTTTCCCATGACTTTTGGTGTAAAATAATTAGGGAAGCAAGAATTCAACAATTTAGAATTTCTCATTCAGTTTCCTATGGCCCGTTTGACGATTCACCATCCTGTTTACCATATTTAACAATTAAAAAACAATGGTCTAAATTAAAATAAGCCCCGGTTACTCTCCACAATCTTGAAGTTGAATGTTTGAACTTCAATTTAGACACTTGGTAACCTCAAAAATAATAATTTACATATGTGTTTTCGAGACTCAAAAATGCGTATTTTCGCGTTTTTCATACTTTAAATCGCTTATAACTTAAAAACTATCAACTTTAGAGAAAAATGACAAGAAACCTTTTTTGTTTAAAATGATCCAAAAAACTTAAAAAACATTTTCCAGAAAAAAATTTTTTGGAATTGGTTTAAAAAAATTGTTTAAACAATTTCTGCCCAAAAATTTCACCTGGCGCCCTTCAGATTTGTTTAAAGGGGACGTTTTTGAACCGGAATCCGCGAAGAAACCAAATCAGAAACATTTTTCCAACGCGAGCGGCCTCACGGCCTGGACTAAGGAGAAAGGAAGGTAATCAGAATATTTAGAAACCTAAAGCTCTTTAGCTTAAAATAAATAGATCCTTACACATGTATAGTTGGTTGCCTATCAATCCTACAAAATTTCATAAATTCCAGTTGACCCACTTTAATTTTTAAAAAACCAATTTTCAATGTTTCAAATATAGCTATTTGATTAATTTACAATACAGATTACAATATTGATGGTTGATACTGTTACTTTATTATAATTTTAACTTTTTCAACTTTAAATAAGGCTGACATCTGTCATTTTTAGACAACTACCGTAAGTTACACTGACTGCTCTGACACAACATCCGTCCTAACATGTCAACAATGTCATTTTGACCAGTTGTTATTAACAGGTCCTCGTAGACACTTCGTCTCAGGACCATTTTACTCATGTAGAGTCATACGCCGCCATGTTACCTATCCAACGGTAACTTAAACATCAC